TCTACATTGAAACATGAAATCGATATTCAGTGTCGTATATTGCCGATTTTAGAGCTCGAATGTGTCTTCTTCAAACCGTAAATATTTGAAGATATTTTTCCGTACATAACAGGCCCGGCATTGCCAAGGGGTTAGGGAGCTCGACTCGCAATCTGCAAGTCGCGGGTTCGAATCCCCGTCCAACAAACATGCTCGCCCTTTCAGCCGTGGGGGCGTTATTATGTGACGGTCAATCCCCCTATTCGTTGGTAAAAGAGTAGCCCCAAGAGTCGGCGGTGTGTGGTGATGACTAGCTGCCTTCCCTGTGGTCTTGCACTGCTAAATTAGAGACGGCTAGCGCAGATAGCCCTCGTGTAGCTTTGCGCGAAATTCAAAACAAAACAAACTTGACTATTAATTTTAATACGGTACACGCGGTGGTAGCATGTGCAAATAACAAATGTTTTACGTAATTTATTGGAAGTTTATTCACAACAGAAGTTCTAATTAGGTCCACCTTAATGTATGAAATTCAAAACAAAACACACTTGACTATTAATTTTAATACGGTACACGCGGTGGTAGCATGTGCAAATAACAAATGTTTTACGTAATTTATTGGAAGGTTATTGACAACAGAAGTTCTAATTAGGTCCCCCTTAATGTATGAAATTCAAAACAAAACAAACTTGACTATTAATTTTAATACGGTACACGCGGTGGTAGCATGTGCAAATAACAAATGTTTTACGTAATTTATTAGAAGATTATTGACAACAGAAGTTCTAATTAGGTACCCCTTAATGTATGAAATTAAATTATTTAAAGACAGCCTGTTGACCTTGCAGACAGCATGTTGACCTTGCTTCGTAGAATGTTCACTTCTGGCTCAAATAAATGAATTCCCTTTTCTATATTGAACGATTATACCCAAGTTGTCGTTTTTTCACACCTTTCTTGAAATGCTGAGCAATGATAAGTAAATCAATTATTTGCCCATGAAGTTTATAAAAAACAACTTGAAATCAGATATTGGACACCGTTAACTTTATTCTTTACATTTTGAAAACGATCCAAAAAATCGAAACATGCATGAAGACAACCGTACTGCCTCAAGATATTTGACTGATTTGGTACCGCAACGAATTTAAGTTGAATAAAAGATGCATCTTAAGAATGGCATGTTTTTTTGGAGTTTTTTTATAGATAATAAGTGTGGTAAGATTGCGTTATCTCTTCTCATGGCAACATATCTTGGCATAAAATTAACGGTACAGATCAATGGTTGCACGCTAAACGTTGCATGATCAAACTAATTAATTCAAACAAAGGTAACTAAGTGGCTCGATAGTTTTTATTATCTTTAGATTTGTTCGAAAATTATTTTAATAAAATGATTTTAGTTTTACGTTTTCTGAGCTTCGTTTGCCATCATCAGGATACTGAAAAGTACCAGTAACACCCGTTTCTAAGATCTTTATGGGTTCATTGGAGAAGAGAAAACGTGAATCAACCAATAGGATGTAGAGTTGTTCGAAGATCAATCGGTAATTAAACAAACACTTAGGTATTAGTATTAATTTTAAGCATTCTAAATATATATTCACTTTGTGATGGTTTTTTTTTTGTTTCAGTAAATAGCCAACTAATTATACAAATGTAGTTGTTTTGTGAAGCGATATCTGTGCTAATTGAGGACCTGGGAAGATAAACAACAAACAATGGAATAAATCTGTTTCCATATTGCATATCGTACGTTTGTTCTTATGATAAAAATATAATTCCTATCAACATACGCCCCCAGTGGCACAGCGGTATGTCTGCGGAGTTACAACGCTAGAATCCGGGTTTCGATACCCGTGATGTGCAGAGCACAGATAGCCCATTGTGTAGCAATGTGCTTAATTACAAAACAAACTGTTATGTTTTGCCTCCCCTCCAGTGGTACAACGGTATGTCTCCGTAGTTACAAAGCTAGAATCCGGGTTTCGATACCCGTGGTGGGCAGAGCACAGATAGCCCATTGTGTATCTTTGTGCTTAATTACAAAACAAACAACCCCATTAGTCGACAACTCATACAAATTCATCCTTCTTTATGTAAGTAAGTTATAAAAAAATGGATGTATTGTCAACTTGAGTTACTAAAGACTTTCATAACTTAACAGAAACGTAAGGAAAAACAAACAAAAACTTGGTTTTGAAATCATATTTAAAGTATTAGTTTATCAACTTATTTACCACGGTTATCTTATGGACGTATGTTGTTTTCTCAGCATATGTAATCACTTCTATAAAAGTTCATTTATCGATTCTAAAAAACGAAATCAAAACGCCGGCTTGTCAGTAAATTTCTCATTTCGTTGCAAAGTACTTCTTCAGCACGAGGATTCACACAAGCTGCACTAAAACGATGTTTCAAACACGCAGATGGAATTCTTAGCATCGGAGATCAGCATTGCTATCTGAATTAATCTCAGTCTATAAATGTATGCTGATAGTTTTGTTTGTTTGTTTCTAGTAAAGCGCAAAGCTACACAATGGGCTATTTATACTTTGCCCACCACGGGTATCGAAACCCGGTTTCTAGAGTTGTAAATCCACAGACATACCGCTGGGCCGACTAATGGGTATCATAAAAGCTGTGGAGTGAAAAATCCGTTTCAACAATTAACATTAGCCGTGCACCATTCACTAACTTGTTTGTGATCATATATACTTGGTATTTAATCAGAGTGTATAATATTGTTTTAGTTGGTTTACAGTCACCCGTAGATTATATGTTTTTATGTCATACTTTTTAGTTGATTTACAGTCACCCGTAGATTATATGTTTTTATGTCATTCCTTTTTTTAGTTTATTTACAGTCACCCGTAGATTATACGTTTTTATGTCATCCTTTTTTAGTTGATTTACAGTCACCCGTAGATTATACGTTTTTATGTCATCCTTTTTTTAGTTGATTTACAGTCACCCGTAGATTATACGTTTTTATGTCATCCTTTTTTAGTTGATTTACAGTCACCCGTAGATTACACGTTTTTATGTCATCCTTTTTATACTTGATATACAGTCACCCGAAGATTACACGTTTTTATGTCATCCTTTTTTTAGTTGATTTACAGTCACCCGTAGAATATATGTTTTTATGTCATACTTTTTAGTTGAGTTACAGTCACCCGTAGATTATATGTTTTTATGTCATACTTTTTTAGTTGATTTACAGTCACCCGTGATTATACGTTTTTATATCATCCTTTTTTTAGTTGATTTGCAGTCATCCATAGACTATACGTTTTTATGTCATCCTTTTTTTAGTTGATTTACAGTCACCCGTAGACTATACGTTTTTATGTCATCCTTTTTTTAGTTGATTTACAGTCACCCGTAGACTATACGTTTTTATGTCATCCTTTT